CAAACGGCCCTGGACCCACTGAGCACTCGCACTGGGTAGCTCAGTCCCACGAACTGCAGGTCCCCGGGAGGCCCGCATTTGGCGCCGCCCCTGGCCATCCCAGCTGGGGCGGGGCGAAAATCTGCGCAAGCGCAGTCCGCGCGCTCGCGCTGTTGCCTTGGAAACCAGCCTAGGCGGGCGCCCGGCGGGCCTCTGGACCAAGCTCAGACTTAGGACCGCACACGCCGCGCTCAGGCCAGCTTCCCGTCCTCAGCCGGACGCGTGCGGGCTGGGGCCACCTGCCTCTGAACTCACCCCATGGTTACCCCTGTAGGAAATGGGTGTCGCCTCTTCCTGCAGCGTCAGGCTCCACTCCGCCTCAAAGATGATATAAGTGATCCTCTGTGCAATGCGGTTGGATGGAAACAGCCCTCTCGCTGCTGTTCAGATGTGCACTTCCTGTACTTCTTCAAGGGTAAGAAGGGTCGCCTTGCCCTAGTGAGGACATCAGTAGAGAAAGGTCGGGTCTATAAGGTGGGAAAGCCGTACCCCCTTAGGTGTTGTAGGGAACACAGTCATTGATCCCTGGGAAGAAAAGTATATCGTCCAAGAACAGTTAGGTAAACGTGCTGTCACTCCTCCCAACTCTTTGGAATATGTTAGCAGTTGTGGAGAGTGCTGGTGCTGGCCAGGCTATGAGGTCTCCAGGTGGGAAGAGGGTATAATACAACAAACACTGCAAGCACTCTGTTAAGAAATGCGGACAGCCACATGTAGTGGCTCACTCCTTTAATTCCAGCACTTGGGAGGCAGAGGCAGGTGGCTCTCTGTGAGTTCAAGGACAGCCTGGTCTACAGAGCGAGTTCCAGGACAGCTAGGGCTGTCACACAGAAAAAGCTTTAAAAAAAAAAAAAGAAAGAAAGAAAAAAGGAAGAGAGAGAGATAGCCTCCCAAGCCCTCCAAAAAAAGCTGGCTGCCTTTAATCTCAGCACTCAGGAGGCAGAGGCAGGTGGGTATCTGAGTTCGAGGCTGGTCTACAAAGTGAGTTCCAGGTCAGTTACACTAAGAAACCTCGTCTTGAAAAAACAAAACAAAAACCAACAACAACAAAAAATTTAAAAAGGAAAACTCTAGAATTTAAAAATGAAGACTCTATAGTCAAAACCCTACATTGTCAATTCTATTCACAAGTGTGGCCTCTTGTTTGTGTTTGTAGACCATATAGGGTGTTTAGTCGTATTTCTTAGAAAGCATACTAGCATCATACTTTAGTGAGGTGAACTGGGAGTAGTATCTGGTCATTGACTCAGATCAAAGGCAGAGCATAGCAATATGAAAAACAATTCTATATTATGACTAACCTCTTAAGAGTAAAAATTCTCAAAAAAAAAGTAAAAATTCTCACATCTAACAGTAGGGGTGAGAATACAGATTATGGTCCTATATAACAAATCTACTTGGCAACCATAAAATTTGCATTTTAATTCAGGAACTCATATGACATTTAAATATACTGTAGTAAATGTATATATACTTATAGCTAGAAAAAAAGGAATGGAAATTAGGTGAATATTTTATGTTTTCTTCCTCTTTCTTTTGTCCCTATTTTTTTAATAATGAACAGATATAAATACTATCAATTTTCTTTTCCTTCTTTTTTTGTTTTTTTTTGTTTGTTTGTTTATTTGTTTCGAGACAGGGTTTCTCTGTGTAGCTTTGGAGCCTGTCCTGGAACTTGATCTGTAGCCCAGGCTAACCTTGAACCCACAGAGATCCGCCTGCCTCTGTCTCCAGAGTGTGGGATTAAAGGTATGTGCCACCAATGCCTGGCTGTTGTTTTTGTTTGTTTGTTTGTTTGTTTTGGTGGGGGGGGCTACTATCAATTTCTTAATGTGCCTATAGTTATTCTTCAACAGAACTAACTTACAACTCCTAAGGGCCTTGAGATTCTTCATTCCTACAATAGCTAGTATTATTATTGCTGTTGGGCCTAGGCCATGAGAACCCTAAGTCTCAAGGCCTGAAAGCCCCCTGAAACTCTTCAGCAACTAGGCCTCATAGCTTCTGCTGCCTCAGCTTTAGTTACTGCCTTAGTTGGGGTTTCTATTGCTGTGAAGAGACACCATGGCCACAACAACTCTTATAAAGAAAACATTTAATTGGGGCTGGCTTACAGTTCAGAGGTCCTGCCTATTATCATCAGGGCTGGACATGGCAGTGTGCCAGTGATGGAGAGGTAACTGAGAGTTCTGCATCTCTGCAGGCAGCAGGAAGAGATCTGTGACACTTCCTCCAACAATGCCACAGCCACTCCATCAAGGCCACACCTCCTAAAAGTGCCACTCCCTCTGGGCCAAGCATTCAAACACATGAGTCTATGGGGGGTCATACCTATTCAAACCACCACATTCTACTCCCTGACCCACACAGGCTTGGAGCCATAACATAATGAAAATTCATTTAGTTTAACTTCAACAGTCCTCTTAGATTATTACAGTCTCAAAAATGTTTCAAAGGCCAAAGTTCAAAGTCTCTTCTGAGATTCATTCACTCTCTTAACTTTAATCCCCTATGAAATCAAAATAAAAAAACAAATCACATACTTCCAACATAGAATGATACAGGATATACATTACAATTCCAAAATACAGGGAAGGGAACATAGCAAGGAAATATTAGATCAAAGCAAGACCAAAAATTAGCTGGGCAAACTCCAAACTCTTGCATCTCCATGTCTGATGTCAAAACTCTCTTCAGATCTCCAATTCCTCCCAGCTTTGTCGACTGCAGCACACGTCTTTCTCTTGGGTTGGTTCCACTCCCTGTTAGCAGCTTTCCTTGGCAGGTATCTCATGACTCTGGCATCTCCAACATCTTGGGGTTCTCCAACACAAGGCTTCACTTTCACAGCTTCATACAATGGCTTCTGTAGGCCCTCCATGCAGGGACATGCTTGACAAATGCCTGGCCTCAATGGCTTTCCTTAGCCATTGTGGGTGGGAGGGGATTTCCTTTCTTCTATCCTTGACTCTAAAGCCAGAACCACATGGCTGAAACTGCCAAGCTCTGCTGTTTGATGTGGTTGGAACATGACCCCCTCGTTCAAATACATCTTCACCAGCTTTCTGGTTTTGATGTTGTTGTGCCCAAATTCTGAACCCCAAAATCACCAAGAGGCCCATTTCGATGAAAAAGCAGAGAGTCTTTTATTGCAGTTGTTTAATGAGCTAACCCCATTAGCTTTGGGGGATGGCTGGGGAAAGACCCCGAGAAACCACAAGATAGAGATCTTATAGGGCAGCAAAAAGGGAGTGTCCAAGGGTACGCACAGTCTCAGGATTGGTGTGCCTTCAGGCTTAGACGACCTGCCCTGTGTTGATTGGTCAACTGGTTGTTATGGCCCATAGGCCCTCCCAGGGTGGTTGCTATGCTCTGAGCATCACTGCTGTGCACTTGTCTGTAAAGCACACCCAGAGCCAAAAAGCATAGCCCCACTAGCTAACTTCTGATTGGTTCCTTGCCACAAGGTGGGCATCTGACCTCCTAGTGACCAAGGCATGCCTAACAAGGTCAGGCAAGCACCTGTTAGCCTGTCATGGCGGACAAAACAGAGGGGCTGGTCCCTTCAGGTGGTCTTCACTGCCTGAGCTTGGCTATCCTGGCTCTCACTCTGTAGACCAGAATGACCACAAACTCAAAGATGGGCCAGCCTCTGCCTCTGGAGTGCTGGGATTACAGGCATGTACCACCACACTGACTCTGAGCTTTTCTTTAATTCCTTTTCACAAATCAGAAGCTTAGCTGTGTAGGATCTTGCCCTGAAGTCACCACTCCCTTTATTTCATTTAACATCAGGCTTTTCTTTAATCTGTGTATCTCTTGAACACAGAATTTAGTTCTACTTCCTGGTGCCCCCTTTCTCCTTGAATTGTACATTTTGTATTTTCCTTGTTCAGTTTGCTTCTTTTCATTATTAATCTGCATAAAACATAAGAGTGAACACTAATGACCGAACAACAAAGTCAATACTAGGCTATTTTGAGATTTCCTCTACTAATGCAATTAATCCAAAAATCTTCAATTTAGTCCAAGGCAGGGTTTTGTTTGTTTGTTTGTTTGTTTTGTTTTGTTTTGTTTTTTTGGACAGGGGCAGAAAGCAGACACACTCTTCACCAAAATATCACAACTGTCTCTAGGCCACATAATAACATTCTTTTCCTCTGAAACCTCTTGAGCCAGGCCCCCACAGTTCAAATCACCCTCAGTACCACTCACTGTTTTCCATGTTCCCACTAGCATGGCCCATTAAGCCCCACTTAAATATTTCAACTGCTTTTCTAATCAAAAGTCCACATTCCTCCAAACAAAACTATGATCAGCCTTGTCATAACAATACCCCACTTCTGGTACCAGCTTCTGTCTTAGTAGGGTTTCTATTGCTATGAAGAGTCACCATGACCATGGCAACTCTTATAAAGGGAACCATTTCTTTGGGGGCTGGCTTACAGTTCAGAGGTTTGTTTAGTTCATGCAGGCAGACTTGGTGCTGAAGAAGGAACTGAGAATTCTACAACTTGATATCCAGACAGCAGAAAGACCTCTACAACACTTTCTCCAACAAAGCCATACCTGCTCCAACAAGGCCACTCCCTATGGGCCTATAGGGATCATTTTTATTCAGATCACCACAGTTGCCTACTTCAGGACCTTCAGTTGCCTTCTTGGGGACTACTACTGCCAGGATGGAGGCTGCTACCAGTGTGCCAATTTTACTATGTCTTCTTTGTGTTGATAGCTCAGTCTGGTCTGCTAATACTAAAGATCAAAAGCAGAAAAGAAAAGGCCATTTGCAAAGACTTTTATTGAGCCAAATACTGTAACATGTAACACCTGGAGCAGCACAATGAGAGTGTACCCCAGGTGACTCCAAAAGTGAGCTGCTAGATGGCTGCAAGGGAAGGGTATTTGTACCAATAATGTCACAACCCTTCATGAAAATGAATATTGTGATCTGCATCACAGATCTGCTGCTTAGCCACCAGGATTAGTGCCCTTCTGATTTGGGTGAACATAGGATTACTAACACTCAGTGAGGTTTGTGGCTGCTGTGCTCATGATAGCTGTCTTCAGATGTGGTTCCACAGTATATATCCCCAGAGAAACAGGAAGGGAAGGAAGGAATGCTTAGCTGACAGTTCCCCACTCCAGGCTGCTAGGTGTAAGAGAAGGACCTGTGAAACCACTGCCCTACATGGTCTGAGCCATTCACAGAAAGAAGCCGCAACACAAAACCATCTATTCTAGTAACAGTTAACAGTGCTTAATGTTATTTCACAGTATGTAACAGCACTTAACTCCTGCCCCAGTTCCCCAGGATCATATATATAGGAACTTTAGTTTATATGATTACACAACATTAAACAAATATTACCCTTACTATGTTCCAGACCTGTGCTAAGGGCATGATGAAAATGAACTCACTTCTTGCCTTCCTAGAGCGAGTAGACTAACAGGGAAGATAAATGGTAAGTAATTATTTTAAAAATAACCTCTTGATGTATAAAATAATTCAGAAAGTACAAGGGGTAGACCTGGTCTAGTGAACCTCTCAGTATTAAGTGTTTACTTAAAAGGAAAAAAGTGCTGGGCATGTAGCATAGCCTGCAGAGTGCTTGCCTGGTACGCATGAAGCCCTGGGTTCCATCTTAGACCAAGCTTGCTAGCACATGCCTGTAATTCCAACACTGGGGAAGTTCAAGGTCACCCTCCACTACATAACAAGTTCAAATCCAGTGTGAGCTAAATGAGACGCTGACTCAAAAAAGGAAAAAGTTTAAAAGACCATAATACCTTGCTATCAATAGAGGGTGATTCAGACATCCTTTGACTGAAAGATCAAAATGGTTCTGTAGGTCAGTTCTTGGGTTTGCTTGAGGTTCATGTGTGATCTCTGGTAAGAGTGGAGTACACTAAGGGGTCCAGACCAAGTGGCATTACGTCGCTCAAGTGAGAATGACCCGCATCCCAACGAAGCAGAGACTCAGAGATCCAACAACAGAGGCCAGCCTGGGCCAACTGAACTGTCCAGGTGGCCCTCAAAGTGCTGAACTTCATTAGCTGAGTACACAGTTCCGGGGCTAAGAGCTGCTGAAGAGGAGAAGGAAAAGGCAGGTTTATTCAGTACCTACTTCCATTCAGTTTTCCTTTTTCTGGAACTTGTTATACAGCTATCCCATTTTTATCAGCTTTCCTCCAGTTTACCCTGAATTATACGTGAAAATGAAATACATTGCCAAGAAATGTGGAGTTAGGTTCCAGCCCCCAGCTATCATCTTAATTTATGACAATGAAACCGAGGGGAAGAGTCGCCAGCGTATCATGCCAGTCCGAAACTTCTCCAAGTTCTCAGGTACCCCTTGTTTTATCTTGCTGCCTATCTTTTTTAAGATGTATTTTTATTTATGTGTATGTATCTATGTAGCTGTCTACAGAGACTGGAAGAGGGCATCAGACTCCCTGAAGCTGGAGTTACAAGGTGTGGGTTACCTGATTGGGTTGCTAAACTTGGGAACCCTGCAAGAACAGCAAATGCACCTAACCATTGAGCCATCTCCAGCCCTTGCTTCCTGTCTTCAATATCCTTACATCACTTAATAAAAATAGCCTGACATAATCAGGTGGCATATACCTATAATCCAAGCACTTAAGGAGGCTGACGTGGGAAAATTGCAAATTTAAGCCTGGATAACTTCAGATAACCACTCTCCAAAAAAAAAAAAAAAAAAAAAAAAAAAAAAAAAAAAAAAAAAAAGATTGGTTGTGAAGGGAATATAGATCAGTGGTAGAGTACCTAACATGTGCAGGGTCCTGGAAGCAGTCCCCACTGAGAGGAAAAAGAAGAGAGAAGGAGGGAGGGAGGGAGGGAGGTAGAATGAACACTTCTTCAGAAATAAACTTAGGTTTAAATCATGACTTAATTGGGGCCTAGATTGTTATCTTGGTGAAATCACTTATTGATGATTGATGTGGGAGGGCCCAGCCCACTGTGGGTGCTTCAACCCCTGGGCTGGTGGTCCTGGGTGGAATAAGAAAGCAGGTTGAGCAAGCCAGGGGGAGCAAGCCAGTAAGCAGCACTCTTCCATGGCCTGTGCACCAGCTGCTGTCCCCAGGTTCCTGCCCTGTTTGAGCTCCTGTCCTGACTTCCTTCAGTCATGGACTATGACATGGAAGTTTAAGCCAAATAAGCCCTTTCGTCCCCAACTAGCTTTTGGTCATGGTGTTTTATCACAGCAATAGAAGCCCTAACTAAGAATTTCTATACTTTTTAACAGTTAAAGAATTGGCAATTTAGCCGGGCAGTGGTGGCGCATGCCTTTAATCCCAACACTTGGGAAACAGAGGCAGGCGGATCTCTGTGAGTTCGAGGCCAGCCTGGTCTACAAGAGCTAGTTCCAGGACAGCCTCCAAAGCCACAGAAAAACCCTGTCTTGAAAAACCAAATAAATAAAAATAAAGAAATTGGCAATTTAATCTGTATGCCTTTAATTCCAGCTTTTGGGAGGCAGAGGTGGGTGGATCTCTGTGAGTTTGAGGCCAGACCTGGTCTACAGAGTAATCTTCTAGGCCAGCAAAGGCTACATAGTGAGACTCAGTCTCTAAAATAAATAAAAATTATGGCATTTTTCATCATTAGACAGTTTCTTCAGTTGAAAGTTTTTAGCATCCCACAAAGTAATTTTTGGTTAAGAAAGTAAAAAAGAAAAGAAAAAAGTCTACATGTCTGCCTTGACACCAAAGCTAGGTTTGTTTGTTTGTTTGTTTGTTTGTTTGTTTATTTAAAATTTTTATTTGGGGGGTTAGAGAGATGGTTCAGCAATTAAAAGCACCTGCTGCTCTTGCAGAGGAGCTGGGTTCAGTTCCCAGCACCTGCCTGGTGGCTCACAGCCATCTTCTAACTCCAGTTCCAGCTCACTGTCGTTCTCTTGTGGTCTCTGCTGGCACTGCACACACATGGTGCACATACATACACTCATACAAATAAAATTAAAGGCATGGGATTAAAAGCATGTGACACCACCAACCAGCTATCTTGGTTTTGTTTTGTTTTGTTTTGAGGCAGGATCTCTGTCTGCCACCTTGGCTGTCATGAATTCATGAATATCCCTAATGCCGGGATAAGAAGCAATTATAAACATGCACCTCCATACCCAGCCTGATGTGGATTTTGTTTATATGGCAGAATCTAGTTAAGTAGTTCAGGCTAACCTCAAACGTTCTATCTTCCATTTCTTCCAAATGCTAGGATTACAGGTATGTGTGTGTTGTGTGACAAACTTTTCCTAGGGAGACACAACATATTTTTGTGTATTTATTTCAGATAGGGAGCCCATGGCAGACCAAAGTGTGGATACCATTAAAGTTCAATTTGGTGAACCACTCAGCTTTAGTGGGGTTACTTACCGGAATATGGGTGAGGGGTTACTTATGGGGGAAGAAATGACTTAAAGACAGCTGCATCACCAAAATCCACCCCAGCATGGGTGACAGCTCACAAAAGCTGGAAACCTGGAGCTCACTGCACAGCCCACATGTAGCCTAACAAGTGGCAGAGTGTCCTTTTTAGTTGAGTCAGTTGGTCTGAGCCTCTTGTGCAGCTCCACTGGTTTTTTTGTTGCTGTTGTTATTTTGTTTTGTTTTGTTTTTGCTTCTTTTGGTCTGTTTGGCGGCTCTCAGGAGTCTTTTGTGTGGCTTGGCTCCTCTGGGAGAGGCTCTCAAAGTCTTTATTGTTTATTCTAGAGAAGGAAGGGGCCAAGTGAGTCTGCTCAGCTTTAGGGACTTCCTGGAGTTGTTCTGAACTGTTTACTTTTTGTCTGAAGGAGCTTCCCTATAGGATAGAATGTTTGTTTTGTTTTTTAAATGTTATTTATTTATTTATTTTACATCCCAACCACAGTCTCCCCACTCTCTTCTCTTCCCTTTCCCTCCCCCTACCAGGTTGGTATGTTTTAATCTCAGAAAAATAAATAAATGAATTGCTAGAAGTATAGTTCTAAAGAGTAATAATTGATTTTAATAAACCCCTTTAGCCACTTGGCTACCTTGGAGCTAGTGATCTCAGGTTTTGGTCTATTTCCAGCCTCATAGTAGTTTGTGACGGGTGTGATATGTGTGCTGTATATACACTTTTTTCCCTCCTAGATTGCACCAGAGCTGCTGAACAATTAAAGAATAACCCACGGCACAAGAATTACCTAGAACTGGTGTCCCTGAAGCAGCTGGAGAAGCTGTTTGTTTTTTTACGAGGTTACTTGCAGGGGCAGAGCTTGGCAGAAACGAAGGAACAAATTCAACGGGAAACGACCATTGACCCCGAGGAAGACCTGAACAAACTAGATGACAAGGAGCTCGCCAAAAGGAAGAGCATCATGGATGAACTTTTTGAGAAAAATCAGAAGAGAAAGGATGACCCCAGTTTTGTGTATGACGTTGAAGTTGAGTTCCCTCAGGATGAACAGCTGCTGTCCTGCAGCTGGGACACCGAGTCAGCCGATGAGTTCTGAGACCTGCTGATCCATGTCTCCACAAAGAACAAGGACTGGCCCTAGAAAATCTGTAAACACGAAGGTACATATAAAACCAAGAGACTCATGTGTGCTGCGTAGGCCTGTGAGGAACAACAGCAACAACAAACAGTATAGGAATGCCATTTAAGGAGTTGGCAATCTAAAAGGAAAGTAACTCAAAAACTTGTAAAAAGATATTTGAATAATATTACTCAGAAACGAGATTAGAATCAGATTTTCAATGAAGGCTGACATAGCAAGGAAGGTTTTCCCTCAGCAGAAAGGGACCTGAGCATGGCCCTGGAATGCTACAGGTGGTTTTGTAGATGAAGCAAAGGGGGAGGGTGTAGTAAAGAGACAGGACATGAAAATTTGGAGAAAGAGTGAATAATTATAGTTTGGCAAGATTGAGATTAACCTGTGTTCATTATGTCTCTATGGGTATTTAACTCTCGGGTAGACAAAAACACCTGCAAAGTGCTTCACAGCTACAAGTGCATGCAGACTGAGAGACAAAGGCAATTGTGTCCCTCCACGCTCAGGAAATGTTACTGTGAAACCCAGAACCACTTCCTGTGAGAGGCTGGTTTAGACAGTGGGAAGCTACCCACTGTGAGTGAGCACTAGGTCTTCTTGTTCAGACCTGCACAGTTGAAATGTACAGTGATCTCCATCTAACAAGGCCACCGTGCGCAGATGGTTTGTTCTTGCTAGAATATTAACTGATTGATAGAAATCATATGTTTTCTACAAGGAAGCTATTATTCATTGAATAAAGCTATAACTGTGAGTGTTAAGTCTTACCAGTTTTTCTTTTCCTCCCTTCAGTCTGGTGTTTTGTTTGCTGGGGTTTGGGGTGTTGCTGATTTGTGCGAGTTAGCAGACAAAGCATGGCTCTTTACTATGGCATCAGTATCCTCTGTCCCCACTCCAACCCCACCTGTGTCCCTTGTCTGCTTGCTGATCCCCTTCTTCCCAAGCCGGCCCCTTCTGCTTTCATGTCCCGTGTGTTCCATTACCTTCTGTACCCACTTAAAGTTCCTTCCTCCCTTCTCATAGTGCCCTTTCTAGTCCCTGCCCCCCCCACATCCATACCCTTATAAAAACCTAGATTTTGGTCAGGTGCTGGTGCTGCATGTCTTTAATCCCAGCACTCAGGAGGCAGAGGCAGATTGATCTCTGTAACTTCGAGGCCAGCCTAGTTTACAGAGGGAGTTTTAGGACAGCCAGGGCCACACAGAGAAACCGTATCTCGATAAACAATAAGAAAACCCCTAGATTTTTGTATAGGAGAGAAAATGCAGTATTTATCTTTCTGAACTTGGTTTATTTTATGTAGCATGATGATTTCCTTTTCTCTCCATTTCCTGTTAATATCATGATTCCATTTCTTTAAGGCTAAATAAAATTGCATTGTGTGGTATATGTATGCATTTCCTTTACCAACTTCTCTATTGGTGGCTATCTATCTAGGCTGTTTACATTGTGAATACAGCTGCTGTAAACTTGGATGTGTGTGTATGTCTGTAGTTATTGCCTTAGAATCATTCAAGTCTTCCCCCCAGGAAGGCTGTAACTGTATCATTTGGTAGTCCTGTTTCTAGATTTTCTTCTGAGATTTCATACAGATTCCCACAGTTTACATGAGGACTACTATTCTACTTTACATTCCCACAACTAGTGCATAGGGTTCCTCCTCCTTTGCAAACGTGAAAGCATTTATTTGCTTTCCTGATAGCCGTTCTGACTGGGGTCTGATGACCACAGATGTGAACATTGCTCAATTAGTTACTAGCCATTAGTATTTCCTCTTCTGATAAGTGTTTATTCAGGTTTTTTTGTTGGACATTTATTGATTGGATGGTTTAGGGGGTGGGAGTTCATACTTAATTTTGTGAGTTCTTTATATAATCTAAGATCTTTCATAGATAGATGATAGATTTTTTTGTTGTATAATATATAGTTGGCAAACATTAGATCATTCTTTTTAATTTTTTGTCTTAGTTTGCTTTCTGTTGCTATAATAAAACACTAACAAAAACAACCTGGAGAGGAAAAGGTTTACTTCATCTTACAGTTTACAGTCCATCATGAAGGGAAGTCAGGGCAGAAATACCTCTTACTGGCTTATTTCTCCTGGCTTGCTCAGCCTGCTTTCTTATACAGTCAGGGCCACCTGCCCAGGGGTGACACCATACACAGTGGGCTGCATCCTACCATATTAATCACCAATGGAGAAAATGCCCCACAGACATGCCCACAGGCCGGTATGATGGATGCAAGTCCCCAACTGTTGTTTCCTCCTCCCAGGTAACTCTAGGTTCTGTCAAGTTGACAAAACAACCAACACATTTCTTTAAAATTGTGTGTGTGTGTGTGTGTGTGTGTGTGTGTGTGTGTGAGAGGAGAGAGAGGAGAGAGAGAGAGAAGAAGGAGAAGAGAGAGAGAAAGAGAGAGAGAGAGAGAGAGAGAGAGAGAAAAACAGGTGCTTGAGGATTCCAGAAGTGTGTGTGTGTGTGGGGGGGGTGCTTAAGGATTCCAGAAGAGAGAGTGTGTGTGTGTACAGGTGCTTGAGGATTCCAGAAAAGAGTGTGTGCAGCCCATTCCTCCCATTTTGTAGATAATCTCTTTGTTGCAGATTGTTTCCTTTTCTGTACAGAACCTTTGTCAAAGTTTAGGATTATTCCCTATGCTCTTGGAGTCCTTTGCACAAAGTCCTTGCCTACACCTATATCTAACATGTTTTCCTCCAGCACTGTCAGAGTTTTGGGTCTTATATTGAAGTTTTTGACCCATTTGGAGTTTGTTAGATATTTTGAATTTATTTATTTTTTGTCACTTTTTTTTTTATTGAGCTAGACATTTTCCCCACTCCCTGTCCCTGTGTAGCCCTTGCTGTCCTAGAACTCATGCTGTGGACGAGACTGACCTTAACTCAGAGATTTGCCTGCCTCTGCCTGTGCTGGGATTAAATGTGTGAACCACCACTAGCTTCATTTCTTATACAACCCAGGACACCTGCCCAGAGGTGGTACCACCCACACTGGGATGGGCCCTCACGCATCAATCATTAGTCAAGAAAAAGCTCCACTGCTTTGCCTACAGGGCAACCTAATCAAGGCATTTTCTTTTCTCAGTTGAGGTTCCCTGTTCTCAGGTCATCCTAGCTTGGGTCAAGTTGACAAAAACAAAAAACCTAACCAGCACACTTTCCTATTTGTTCCTTTTTCATTTGTTCACTGTGTTGGGGAACATTTCAAGCAGAGTAGGTGCTTGTTGTAGAATATTTTCAGATGTGTTACATTTGTTTATCCTATGGAACATTTGTTTAATGATGCAAAGATGTGTTGCATTCTTTTACATTGCATTTGTTTAACTCTGTGAAGCTGTGTTACTTTGCCTGCCTAAAACACTTGACTGTTCTAATAAAGAGCTGGACAGCCAATAGCAAGGCAGGAGAAAGGATAGGTGGGGCTGGCAGGCAGAAAGAATAGAGATCGGATAGCAAGAAAAGAAGGCGAGGAGGACATCAGGGGCTAGTCACGCAGCTACACAGCCAGCCACTGAGTGAGAAGTAAAGAAAGGTATACAGAAATGGAGTAAAGCAAAAACCCAGAGGCAGAAGATAGACAGGATAATTTAAGAAAAGCTGGAGAGAAATAAGCCAGGGTCGAGCATTCGTAAGTAAGAATACGTCTCCATATGGCTTATTTGGGAGCTGGGTGGTGGGCCTCCAAAAGAGCCAAAGAGTTTAAAAAAAAAAAAATCCAACTATACGTGTTCTTGTCTCATTCCTGATTTAGAAGAAATGCTTTAAAATTCCTCGTGTAGGATATATTGACTACCTTTATTTTTTTTTTCATTTGAACAAATAGCCACTATTTACTTCAGCAAGTGAAAAGCCAAAGGCAGACAGTAAGCACACTCTATATTGCAAGTGGCAACAGTGATGTGTTTCTTTATGGTATTGTGGTATTTTCCTTTATTTCTAGTCTCTTTAGGACTTAACATGAAGGAATGTTGAACTTCATCAAAGGCCATTTCTGTACTGGTCATGTGATTTCTATCCATGTATGTATTATATTACATTTATTGATCTGCATATACTAAAGCAGTATTTTTTTTCTTTCTTTTTTTTTTATGACAGGATTTCTCTGTGTAGCTTTGGAACCTATCCTGGCACTCCCTCTGTAGACCAGGCTGGCCTTGAACTCCCAGAAATCCCCCTGCCTCTGCCTCCCTAGTGCTGGGATTAAAGGTGTGTGCCACCAACGCCTGGCATACTAACAATCTTGCATCCCTGGGATGAAGCCAACTTGGTTATGGTAGGTGATCTTTCTTAATGAGTTTTGAGGTATTTTATTGAAAATTTCTACATGTATGTTCATGAAAATTGGTCTGTAATTTTTTGTCTTTTTTAAGATTTGTTTATTATGTATATGAACTCTGTATACATAATGTATGTTATGTATATACATGTATGGCTGCACACCAGAAGAGGGCATCAGAATCCATTACATAGTTATGAGCCACCATGTGGTTGTTGGGAATTGAACTCAGGACCTCTGGAAGAGTAGCCAGTGCTCTTTACCGCTGAGCCATCTCTCCAGCCCATTTTTTTTTGTCTTTTTAAAGATTTATTTATTATGTATACAATGTTCTGCCTGCATATGTGTGTGCCTGCAGGCCAGAAGAAGGCATCAAATCTCATTATAGATGTTTGTGAGCCACCATGTGGTTACTGGGAATTGAACTCAGGTCCTCTGGAAGAGCAGCCAGTGCTCTTAACTTCTGAGCCATCTCTTCAAGCCCCTGGCCTGTAGTTTTGTTGTTCTAGAGCATTGCTTATAAGCTTCACTAGGGATTTTTCTTTTTTTCTGGAGCTGAAGACTGAACCCAGCACTCTAGCACTGACCTATACCCCAACCCTAGTCTTCCATGAAATGACTGCTTAACTTTGCTATTTTTGCTTCTGTTAGAGCCTGGGTATTGTGCATTTATATGTTAACTTGAAAATCTCTGTCTGATAAAGAAGATAACCTCAGAGAATTTGGTTTATTTTCCTATAGCCATTAACCACTTTATCTAACCTAAAAATCATTTTGACATCTTTCTGTGAATGCCTGTAAATTCTTCAGTCTTCAAAATTATCAAAACAGAGAAAGGGAAAGACCACACAAAGTTGGGAGAGAGAATAGTGGAGGGACAGGAGAAGAGGGGAAGGAATAGTGAGTGGATTTGATCCAAACACATACTTACACATGTAGGAGTATTAAATAAAGTATTTAAGTCAGACTTGCCTTTTATCCTCTTCATTAATTAGTTAATACATTTTTTTTTTTGAGATGGGTTTCTCTGTGGAAGTGACCTGACTGTCCTGGAGCTTGAGTGCTCTGTAGAACAGGGTAGCCTTGAACTCACAGAGATGCCCCTGCCTGGCCCAAGTTAATACACCTTTTTTTCTTTTTCTTTTTCTTTTTCTTTTTCTTTTTCTTTTTCTTTTCTTTCTTTCTTTCTTTTTGTTTTAGTTTTTTGTTTTTCGAGACAGGGTTTCTCTGTGTAGCTTTGGAGCCTATCCTGGTACTCACTCTGGAGACCAGGCTGGCCTCCAACTCACAGAGATCCACCTACCTCTGCCTCCAGAGTGATGGGATTAAAGGTGTGTGCCATCAACTCCCGGCTGTTAATACATCTTAATATGTATTCATTTTATATTTATATGAGTTCTTTATTTTTAATTGCATGTGTGTATGTTTGTGTATGTGTTTGTGTGTACACCAATGTGTATGTTCTAGCT